AGGGGGGCGTATCTGGGGGAACCGCAGGGCGGATACTGGGGGAACCGCCCGGGCCGTTTTCCACTGCCCGGCCCGTTTAATCCAGGAGAGCAAGAGCCCTTTCTAGGCAGAGCCCAGGTAGGGAATCATGCACCACAGAAAGGAAAGTTTAGGAACAGTACACGAGAGCAGGCGTCACTCCTTTGAAGGCGCCTCGGTCCAGCAGCTTCATTCGAAGAAGGAAGATATGTGGAGGCGTGACTTGTGGTCCAAGCCAGCTTTGCAAACCTCCCTGGTCAAAGGCCCAACCAACCGACAGACAGGGGCGTCCGCATGGTCTGGTCTTTGGCCATTCCTTGCACGGCCTCTGGCGGCCTCCGCGTCCTGCCTGTCATGGTCCGCTACGACGGTATTTGGTATATTTGGTTGTCGTGGTAAATGCTGCATGGCGACAGCATGACGCCTTTTCATGAAGGTCCTCAAGATGGGCAAGAATTGTGACGCAGGTGTGGAAGCAGCACTGCGTACACACGGGGAATTGCACAACATCAGTGAGTTCACGTGTGCGGCGCCGGACATCATGCACGGTGAAGGCATGGGTTGCCAGCTGCCAGGAAACGCGCGTGTAGGAGCAACCTTGGCGTGCGAAGACGTGACTGACCTCAGCCATACTGCTGGTCTTAGCTCATGATAGCGGGCGTTCCACCTCATGCTCTATCTTCGAAGCTGCCAAACAGACTCTGAGCATCGATTGGCTGAACCGCGCATTGGGCCAACGATTCTGCGCGTGAGGCCAGAAACGCCACATCCTCGGACACTGTCTGCATCATCGATCTGCGCATATCAATGGTATGTGAGAAGATGGCGCGCAACGTACGTCGTGCGCATAGGCACACGCACACACGCGTGAACAAACACAAACTCACGTAGAGAATCACGGTCGTTTGGGCAATGAAGCCCTCGCACTGCGCATTGATCTCGTGCGACGGTGCCTGGCGCACATCATCATCATCAGCAGCAGCATCAGTATCAGCATCAGCATCAGCATCATCAGCATCATAATCATCATCATCACGTTCCTGAAAAACGGACGGGTTGACTTGTATCGCGCCTGTGCGCACTCCTAACAGTACAGCAGCATGCAGCTGCTGCCAGGTGCTGAATTTGTGCAACCCTCGCGTGGAAACGGCACAACGCAGGCCGGGTCTCAACGGGAACTCTCGTGCGCTGAAGCACCCCGTGACCCAGTTGTCTGAAAACCTCTTGCATAGTCCTCACGTCCGCTGTTATCTCAGGATATTACACCAGAGAAAACCGGATCAGTGGATGATTTGAAAATTAATGTTATGGATATTGAGATCGATTGTGAGATCGATAATGAGATCGATAGTGTAATCAACAGTGAGGACGATTGCAAGGCCGATCGTGAGACCGAGAGTGACATCGATTCAATGAGATCGATCGTGAGATCGATAGCGAGATCACTCATGTGATCTCTAGTGAGATCGCTTGTGAGATCGATAGTGAGATCGATTGTGAGATCGATGGTGAGATCGATAGAGAAGCGGGTAATGAGATCGATGGTGAGACCGATCGATAAGAAGATCGACCAGGAACCCGGGAACCTCGCCGCCCTCTGAAATCGGCCCGGAAAGCGGGAACCCGGGAACCCAGAACCGGGAATCCGGGAACCCAGCGTGCGACCAAAATCGGCGGGTTTTTGTCGCCAAATTCTTCAATTTCCGCGAGGACACCTTCAGTGCAAGCATTGATTGGGGAATATGCCGTCGAGCATTCCCATCATGTCAATCACATCGGCAGTTCGGGCCGTGAGGGGTTGCACGACGTCATCCATGTACCCAGCAGGGCCCATGCGCACCGCATCGTCGTGAGACCTTTGGGGGCTCCGCCCCGAAGCCGGGGGCATCTGGGGGCGACCGTTTCAATTTCAAGTTCGTGCAACATCCATTTTGCAGCGAGACGATGTTCGACGGCGTGCGCCACGCAACTGAAAGTAAGCACGAAGACAAAGCTCCCAACGAGCTGCTAGCAAGTGAACCCGAAGTCTTTCTCCATGCAGCCCGCCATCCCGTCGACGGCGAACCACGACTGCTGGTGAAGTTTGCTCAACATAGCAAAATTTGTCACGTCCCCGCTTTCTGTCCAATGCTCATAGGACAGCAAGCCTTCAGCAATGGCACCCGCGTTTTCGGCGGTGTCTTCAAACTTCAAGAGACGAGCAACGAATGCGTTCATGGAGGCCGGGAGGGGCACGGAAGGCAAATAAGCGCGCAATGCCAGCAAATGCAGTTCGTAAATCCAAGAAGTTGGTTATGAATGGTACTCTCTGTGTTCGGGCACCGCCCATGCACGCAACCATGTAGAGGCGTGCTAACTCCGTGGAGCCACCATTCAGACCTCCACCGAATTGTACGTCCGAGCTGACCTTCGCAAGAGCAGGCAGGCACTCCGCGGGCCCTCACATGCGAAGAATAAGACTTCGATGCAGCTTCGCATATCGTGACGTTCCTGTAAGAAGGGATATCCGTCATTGCGCCCCTGCCCTGGTGTATTTCGAACAGATGCCCGCCTTTCCACTGCAAGGGCGGTTGCGCGGCACTGACAGGCTTGAAACCAAGCGGGTGGCACAGCCTTGCGCACTCACGCGGCGCCGCTTTGAACAATTCAGAACCGTTGTTAAGTCCAGAAAGGCCTATAAGAGGACGCAGGTGTGCAAACGTGGAGGCAATTTCAACCAAACTCGGCGCAAAACTGAAATCAATAGCGTCACATCTGCACAACGGAGACAACGTCAAGGTTGTCGGCTTTGTCTTTGTCCACAAGGTCGGACATTGTTCTGCGATTTTCTGCGCTCACTCACGTTTTGTATCGCACGCGTAACGTAGGCGCACCATCAGATCTTCTTACGCTGGCAACTGACTGCTAGAGAGGCTTGTACATCGGCGTCAACACCTGAAACATGCGATGCGTCGACACACCCGCAGCCGCAATCTCGAGTTCATACCGCTCCCGCTCAGCGAACTCCGCGGCATCCTTGTTGTTGAGTGCGACCAGCCAGGTCGTCGATGGCTTCCACACAGGTACCCGTCCAGACCAGCTTTCAGAAGCGACGCCTGAAGTCTGCAGGCGCGCTCGGTCGTCCACCTATCGCGGAGGGGGCGAGGGGCGAAGCGAGAGGAAGAAGCGAGGAGGGAGACGGAAACAGGGAGGGGCAGGGGGAGGGGGCAGGAGGCGGGGAAAAATGAAAGGCGGAAGCACGCACAGAGACGAACCGATCAAAATCTGAATCTGCCTCTGGGAAACGCCGCCACGGCAGCCGCTTGGACGTGCGACGTTGGGCCACATGAAGAAAGCACAGGCGGAAGTTGCGACAATGAGCGTTTGAAGTGGTCAACCTTGCTCGGATCCTCGGGGTTGTGCCGATCGTGCATCATAACGCGCCGCCGCTTCATGGAACAGGCAAATCTCGGTGGCAATGTCTCCCGGGCGCACACAAACAAGTGATCATCGTGCTCATTGGCCGGGTCATACGCATCATCCACAGCACATGAGCCTCCTGCCTTCTGCACGTGAAACACTGCACGACAGCAATATGTGATCATTCATGACGCAACAGCTAACAGCCATATCCAATGTACGAGGCTTGCTGCCTGCACTCAGCCCACACTTGTGGCATGGCAACAGGAAGCCACAACCCCACTTCCGTCGCCCGTGTGTCAAAAACGTTGAGATTGGAGGCATTGGTGGGCAAGGGCGCGCCGCCTGTGCCCATACTCGTAGGGGGCCTGCAGGGGCCACGAATTAGGCATGGCAATGTAGGAACCAATCAGTACAATCGCAGGGAGGTCCCTCAGTCCAGACGGCAACAATGACGCTGCATCTTTCCTCCAAGTTGCGCATTCCCCGTTGGCCTGGCGTGTGGCGCGCAGCGACGCAACGGCAAAGCGGCACGCCGCAGTGGACGCGACCACAACCAGAGTTCAGGGGTCAGCGAGGTGTGTGACAACGTCATCTGCTCGAACATACACGTTCTGCTGACCGTAAACGAAAAAAAGGCTTGTTGGCCGAAAGAACGATGCAACAACCAATGGCACTCAATGCGTTGGGCAGACCCGCTAATTGGATAACAGTTGGCTTGTGTCCAGATGCCTCGCCAATTACGACTTTTTGCCTGATGTCCTACACCTGGACTCTCGGGACCCCGCCACATTTGTGCATCTCCAATTGCGCCGAAGCAGCGGTAAACTTAGCACGCGCCCTGGGAATCAAATCGCTGTGACAAAATATGCGCAGCTCGCACGGCGACACATCCAAGGGATTGTTGTTTGGCTTCCTTCCTCGTCAATGTTCCGCGAAATCACGTTGGACGGCAAAAACTTGTCAATGGTCAAGCGACATTCTGTTCATTTCAAGCGACCTGGTCTGGTGCAAATCAGATGGATAGTCACCCCTCCGCTTGGCATTCAACCATTCAAGGACGAGCCAGTCCACATCATCTTTGCGAGGGTCGAATCGAAAAACAAGCCCGCGAATACGTCATGGCTGCAAATGTCCAGGTGCGCCGAACTGAAGCCAACAGCATCGCACAAACAATCCAGAAGCTCACTCCGTGGATGGGCCTGGTGCGAATGTACATGCGCATGGGGAACATCACGAGCTCCCCCAGCAATGCTGCAACGTTACGGACAACTGTTGCCAGACGTCTCTGAGAAGAGGTTCTAGCGGAGCGGAACGTCACAACCGCAATTGCCATGCTGTCTGAAAAGACGAGCACAAGCACGCAATTGAACACATCTTCGGCCCACAGGGCCCACAGTATCGACCATCTCATGGCCGACATTATCTCTCTCTCTCTCTCTCTTTCTTCCCTCCTCCCTCCTCCTGCCTCCCTTCACTTCCCGCCCTCATCCTTCCTGTCATCCTTCCCTCCTTCCTCCTCTCGCCCTCGCGCCCTCTCCCACCTTCCTTCTTCCCCCCTCCCTCCCTCCCTCCTGGGGGAGGAGCCTCCTTGTGTACGGCCTGTGGCAGGAGCGCATCATGTCGCCTCCCCAGCTAGAGCCGCTCCTCGCTCGTTGCGGCACCCTGTGGCCGCTGGGTGCGTGTACGTGTGTATGTATGTGTGCATGTACGTGTGTGTTTGTTAATGAAATAATGTATGTAGTTATGTATGTAGGCATGTGTGTATATGCATGTATGTCGGTGTATGTATGCATGTATGTATGTATGCATGTATGTATGTATGGATGGATGGATGGATGGATGGATGGATGTATGTATGGATGTATGGATGTATGGATGTATGGATGTATGGATGTATGGATGTATGGATGTATGGATGTATGGATGTATGGATGTATGGATGTATGGATGGATGTATGGATGTATGGATGTATACATATAATGGTGCACCGGGTCCGGGCGCCCGGGGCCGGCGCCGCTACCGCAAATGTGGGCTCCGGGGCCCTCGGGTAGCCCCGGGGCCTCACGGAAGGCCGCCAGAAGGCGCCAAGGAGGCCCAAAGAGGCTCCAGAACAGACCCGGGACGCCCGAAGGTCGCTCCCAGACGCCCAACATGGCCTTCAAGGCGGCTTCAGAAGCCCCCAAGACACCCCAAGCGATTCCCAACAGGGCTCCAAAGAGAGCCCCAAGGGGCCAAAATAGCCCCATTCCTTTCGTAAAACGTATGTTTTTTACAAATTGCTCGTTTTTGCTGTCCGTCCGTGCTTGACGACCTCAGAAGCTCCCAAGACCGCCCCAATACGGCCCAGGACGCGCCCCAGAGGGCCCCAATACAGCCCCAGAAAGCTCCAGGACGGCCCACGAAGGGCCCAAGACGGCCCAAGAGAGTCCCCAAGACGGGCCCGAGAGGGCCCCAGAGGAGGAAAGCCACCATCGAATTCCAAGCTTTCGACCCCAAGTGGCTCCAGGAGGCGCCGAGAAGCCCCCAAGAAGCGCCCGGAAGGCTCCCAAAAGCACCCCAAGACGCTCCAAGAGACACCCCAAGAGAGCTCCAAGAAGCAAGAATCGTCCCATTCCTGTGGGAAAATGTATATTTTTCGTATGTTCGCCTGTTGGGCTGTCATCGCGTCCAAGACGGCCCAAGGGGTTCCAAGACGGCCTAGGAGGCCCCCAAAAGAGCTCCAAGACGGGCCACGAGAAGTCCAGGACGGCCCAATGGGCCCCCAAGACGGCCCAAGAGAGCCCCAAGACGCGCCCGAGAGGAGTCCCAGAGCAAGAAAGCCACACTCGAATGAGCTTTCGGCCCCCCCAAGAGAGCCCCAAGAAACTAAAATCCTTCCATTCCTATGGGAAAACGTATATTTTTCGCATGCTCGCCTCTTGGGCTGTCACCGCGTCCAAGACGGCCCAAGAGGCCCCCCGAAACGGCCTAGGAGGCCCCCAAGAAATCTCCAAGACGGCATACGAGGAACGCAGGACGGCCCAATCGGCCCCCAAGACGGCCCAAGAGAAGCCCAAGAAGCGCCCGAGAGGGGTCCCAGAAGAAGACAGCCACTTTCGATTTCCGAGCTTTCGGTCCCAAGAGCCCCCACGAGGCGCCGATAGGCCCCCCATAGGCCCCAAGAGGTTCCCCAAAGCACCCCAAGACGCACCCAGGAAGCCTCCAAGAGGCCCCCAAGAGGCTCATAACTTGGTTCTAATTCCCCGGCGAGAGAGGCATCCAAGATGCCATGCGAACCTTGTCTCTGGGGCCGTAGGTGGATCTTCTTGAGGGCAAGACCCGTGTCAGGGGTGTGCCGACTCAGGTGGAAGGATGCGAACATTGCCGGGGGCCGTCGGTTGAAGTCCCTGTTCGGCACGACCCGTTCGAGGTGCGAGCCGGAATATGCGGGAGACGAGGAGGACATGCAGAAGGAAAGGAGGGACAGAAGGAGGAGGGACAAGAGGAGGGAAAGGAAGGGGCACTCGACCCCGGAGGTCTCTGGGAGCACTCGGCCCCATCTTCGATATTGATTTCGCGTCGTGGGCTCGTTTCCGAGGGCCTGGGGGCCGGGGGCCAGCGCCACGACCACAAATACGGGGCCAGGGCGTAATTTTCCTTGTGACCTGGGGCCAACAGGGCCCCAAGAGGTTGCAGGGAGGCCCTGGGAGGCCGCAGCGATGGCTCCAGACGCCTTTCAAGACGACTCCCATGACGCCAATAAGGCCCCCGAAGGCCCCGAAGACGCCCCAAGAGGCACCCCGAGGGAGAGCCCCAATAAGCAAACATCGTCGATTTCCTATGGGAGAACTTATATTTTTGGCGTGTTCGCCTTTTGGGCTTCCACTGCGTCCAAGACGGCCCAAGAGGCACCCAAGCCGGTCGAGGACGCCCCCAAGAAGGCCCCAAGACGACCCACGAGGGGACCAAGACGGCCCACGAGGCGCCCAAACCGCCCAAGAACACCCCAAGGTGGCGCCCAAGACGGGGACGAGGAACCGGAAATTCGCGCCTTTTGGCCCAAGAGAACCCCAGGAGACCCCAAGAGGCTCCAAGAAGGGGCCCAGAAGCCCCAAGAGGCCCCCATGAGACCCGAAAACACACATCAAAAGAGGCCTCGAAGACGCCCCAAGAGGCACCCCAATAGAGCCCAAATAAGCAAACATCGTCGATTTCCAATGGGAGAACTTATATTTTTGGCGTGTTCGCCTTTTGGGCTTCCACTGCGTCCAAGACGGCCCAAGAGGCACTCAAGTCGGTCGAGGATGCCCCCAAGAGGGCCCCAAGACGACCCACGAGGGGGCCAAGATGGCCCCCGAGGCACCCAAACCGCCCAAGAACGCCTTGAGTCGGCGCCCAAGACGGGGACGAGGAACCGAAGATTCGAGCGTTTTGGCCCAAGAGGCCCCCAGGAGACCCCAAGAGGCTCTAAGAAGCGCCCAAGAAGCCCCAACAGGCCCCCAAGAGAACCGCAAAAACATTCAAAGAGGCCCCGAAACAGCCCCGCAATGGGCCCCCCAAAACGGCCCAAGAGAGCCCCAGGGCGCGCCCAAGAGGGTCGACCAGAGAGCTGGTCCGACTTCCCACACTCTACACAAGGTCCGTCCCCGGCGGTGCCTCAAGCAGGGGTTGCCACTGGAGTCCGCACTTGCCTGAGAAACTCCAAACATTTGTTCGCACAGCTTTTCCTGTGTCTGTGACACGCTAGAACCTAAGCGCACGCGAAGCGCGCGTGGTTCTTATATATGTCTGTCTGTCTGTCTGTCTGACTGACTGTCTGTCTGCATGTACGTATGTATGTATGTATGTATGTATGTATGTATGTATGTATGCATGTAAGTGCATATATATATATATATATGTATGTATGTATGTATGTATGTATGTATGTATGTATGTATGTATGTATGTATGTATGTATGTATGTATGTATGTATGTATGTATGTATGTATGTATGTATGTATGTATGTATGTATGTGTGTACGTATGTGTGTGTATGTATGTCTGTATGTCTCTGTATGTCTGTATGTCTGTATGTCTGTATGTCTGTATGTCTGTATGTCTGTGTCTGTATGTATGTATGTATGTATGTATGTATGTATGTATGTATGTATGTATGTATGTATGTATGTATGTATGTATGTATGTATACATATAACGGCGCACCGGGTCCGGGGGCCCGGGGCCGGGACCTCGACCACAAATGTGCACCCCGGGGGGCCCGGAGGCTCGTCGGGGCTTGCCGGAGGCCTCCCCGGTCAGACAAGACGGCCCCAGGAGCGCCCAAGACGGCCCAAGAAACTTCCAAGAGGCCTCCAAGAGGGCTCCGAGATGCTGAAGATGGCCTCCAGACGTCAAGTTGGCCCATTCCCTTCGTAAAACGTACATTTTCAACAAAGTTGTCTTTTGGGCTTTCCGACGTTACAGGACGGCCCAAGAGGCGCCCAAGACCGCCCCAAGACGGCCCAAGAAGCTTCCAAGAGGGCCCCAGGACAGCCCAAGAGGGCCCCAAGACGGCCCAAGAGGCGCCCAAGATGGCCCAAGAGGGCCCCAAGACGGGCCCAAGAGGGGGCCCAGAGGGGGACCACGAACCGCAAGCTCGAGCCTTCCGCCCCAAGAGGCCGCCAGGAGGCCCCCAGGAGGCCCCTCAAGAGGCCCCAGGAGACCCCAGACGTCCAAGGACGCCCCCAAGACGCCCCAAGAAGCCTCCAACATGCGTCCCAAGAGGGCCCCTAGGCGCAAAATTGACCCATTCCCTTCGTAAAACGTACATTTTTCACAAAGTCGCCTTTTGGGCTTTCCGACGTTACAGGACGGCCCAAGAGGCGCCCAAGACCGCCCCAAGACGGCCCAAGAAGCTTCCAAGAGGGCCCCAGGACAGCCCAAGAGGGCCCCAAGACGGCCCAAGAGGCGCCCAAGATGGCCCAAGAGGGCCCCAAGACGGGCCCAAGAGGGGGCCCAGAGGGGGACCACGAACCGCAAGCTCGAGCCTTCCGCCCCAAGAGGCCGCCAGGAGGCCCCCAGGAGGCCCCTCAAGAGGCCCCAGGAGACCCCAGACGTCCAAGGACGCCCCCAAGAGGCCCCAAGAAGCCTCCAACATGCGTCCCAAGAGGGCCCCTAGACGCAAAAATTGGCCCATTCCCTTCGTAAAACGTACATTTTTCACAAAGTCGCCTTTTGGGCTTTCCGACGTTACAGGACGGCCCAAGAGGCGCCCAAGACCGCCCCAAGACGGCCCAAGAAGCTTCCAAGAGGGCCCCAGGACAGCCCAAGAGGGCCCCAAGACGGCCCAAGAGGCGCCCAAGATGGCCCAAGAGGGCCCCAAGACGGGCCCAAGAGGGGGCCCAGAGGGGGACCACGAACCGCAAGCTCGAGCCTTCCGCCCCAAGAGGCCGCCAGGAGGCCCCAAGGAGGCCCCTCAAGAGGCCCCAGGAGACCCCCAAGAGGCCCAAAGGAGGCCCCGAGAAGCCCCAAATCGGCCCCCAAAATGCTTCGAACCTGCTTCCAGGAGGCCCCCGACAGGTTCAGAGGCTCCCGAGAAGCTACGTCAAACTCCCAGCGAGCGGCCGGACGAGGCCCCCCACAAAATCACAAGAGGG